AGACTTATCGATCGAAAATTAGGGGATCCCCCAAAACAGCGCTCTTACTCCATAGTGACACCTTGTGTCCCATCACTAATTAATTAATAACTCGCTAATTATACGACATAATTACATTACATTCATAATTCACGCCTTCGTGAGATATCGCGTGCATCTAACAGACAAACAGACAGACAGATAAACAGACAAATACCTATCAACATACTTACCGATTAAAATCGATAAGTAACAAACAGACAAATACCTATCAACATACTTACCGATCTTAAGATCGATAAGTAATAACGCAGATTCATTTTCATTTCACATTTTTGTGAACATGTTGCTGCATGAACGCTGCCATTCATCTAAAAGAACGTCTGTTTTTAGTGCCTAGTTACTTATCGATTTTAATCGGTAAGTATGCTGATAGGTATTTGTCTGTCTGTATGTATGTCTGTATGTCTGTCTGTATGTCTGTTAGATGAATCTGTTGAATCTGCTCCAAATTGCATGTGCATTCATCATATCTCGGACCAGAAGCCTATTGATTTTGGATGAATTATGTCGTATAATTAGCGAGTTATTAATTAATTAGTGAAGAAGAGATCTGGATTTTTACAAAGCGAGAGATTTTTGAGACGCGCTGAATGTGTGTGTGCGTGTCCGATGCGCAAGTTTTCACGCTAGTGAGTCAGAGCGAAGGATACACGCCGCGAGATCGTATCTCGTTACTTATATTTACTTAAGCAATGTCCATATCCCTCTATCAGGTTCGGGGTTGCAGAATTCCTTACCAAAATATCGCTAGGCTGTGCTTGAATAGCCGTCGCAACCCGGGTTAGCGCCGTTGTATTTGATTTAAAATATAGCATTGGTAAATAGGCTATTGGCTGGAAACTAATCGAAACAATCCAGTTCGGATTTGCAGAATTCATCATAAAAGTATTTCCTCGATTAGTATTTCGACGACGACATGAGTAATTAGCTATTGTTTCCTACATTTTTGATATTGGCTGAAAACGAATCAAAACAATCCAGTTCGGGTTTGCAGAATTTTTCGAATCGAAACCGCAGTTTCTGTCTTGGGGGATCCCCTAACTTTCGATCGAGAAGTCTTCGGTCTCTGACCGATATTCTCGTTTTCGTTTTGTGACCTTTAAGCTTTCGTTTTGTGATCTTTAAGCTTTCCTAATATACGGCTGATATATATCTGATATACGTATACATAAGATACTTGAGCTGGGAATTTCAGGAAAAACACTTTAACCGTTAACCGGGTAAAATTAACCGGTTAACCGAAGCGTGACGTTTTACATAATAAATTATAATTTTAGCTTGTTACGTCACAATGGTTACAAAGCAATTTCGCGTGACCTTATCCCGGTATCGCTCAAAATTATTTACGAATCGAGATAACTTATTGATCGTTCTGTGGCAAGAGATATACAGCGTGGGTAGGACATATGGAAGTATTTTAGTTAAACCCGATTCCGTTCTCAAATTTCATTTATGTGCCAAATTCTCAGTGTTTGATGTGCAAATTCTACTTCGAGATATATAAAGAAAAACAGCATCAACTATACGCGCTTGTTTGTTGACATTGAATATACGATTTTGAAATAAAATCGTGAACAATATATATTGACCAAAGACTGATTCATAATTGATTATTGTCAAATTTTCATAATCAGCAATCTTAGTACTTCAATTATTTTCCACATTTATTAGTTCCTCACTAATACAGCCCTATAAGATACCGATATAAGTCGATTGTTACGAAATAAACGTGCTTAAACTGTGATAATGATGTAATCATAGACGGCATCTAAAACTCAAAATATAAACACATGGAGTGTTGTAAGTTACCGTATCGCATATGATTATCGGGGAATCAATATTTTTTTTATTTTGCCCTGGTACCGTAATGGATAGGTGACTTGGATCACTTGGTATTTCAATTCACGTTGAAATTGGAAGTGAGACAAAACAGGCTTTTAGTGGCCGGAGTAGGCACCTGTCAATCAAGTCATCGATCTAGTCACACTAGAGGGATTTTGGCGTTAATCTACGTTCTCGGAGCGGGAAAGCATTCGCCCGGGCAATGGGAAAATTTTCAAGTGGCATTGGGGGTGGGGGCGATGCCTCCGCCCCCTCAGTGGTGAGAAAACGTGTGTAAAGCCACGCCCACGTGTTACCTAATCCTAAAAAATCGCTTTTCTCTTTAATTACTGAACCAGTTGCTCTGAAATTTTCAGTGCTTGAAGATAAAAATTTTCTTTAGAAAGCTATTACTTTCATTTAATTCAAATGTGTCCATATATTTGAGCATAGCTCTCTTGTTTACAAATATTGTTGAATAAGGTCAGTTGTTCATCATCTTATCGTATTCAAACCCTTTAGTTTTAGGTGGAATATAGGCTGAAGTACTGAGTTTTGCACGCTTTCCATGATATACATTATATTATGAATTTTTGTGACAATTGAGAATGCACAGTGTTTCTGTGAACACAGCATCATCTAATTACTTTTATGCATTGGATATAAAATTTATGAAAATACATAGTAGTGCCTGCTAAGGACGCATTCACGCCGTATAATCTTAGTAGAGTGACTAGGTTGGTATTTCTTTCTTTGGGCCCCCCAAAGTGTTCAGCCCAAACGACTTTCAACAACACTTCATGGTAATTATATGTCGTTTTGTGGAATCGTTCTTTAATTCGAATATTTCCATTATTGTTGCTTCAATTCATATATACGTGTTGTACATAGTACTTTATCATAACGTTTAACAACAAACAGCAAATATTTGCCGAACATTTTTTATGAAACCCACAAGGATTCGGCAAGTTTTAAATAAAACAAGTTTGGAACGTTTATCGCAGGATTGACTCTATCTATAAGCGTGCAGCAAAAAAAGGAGGTCTTTTGAATATTTTCTAAAAAGTCTAATTTCAGTATACCATGATATAGTTTACTATATTGATAAGCATGTAGCTATGACATTGAGATATATTTTGGGAAATCTTTTATTTTGCGTTTATGTTTTCTCAGAATTTTGTGAATTAAAGACGAAAAAAGAGGTCTGTGTTACTGGAATAAAATCCATCTAAAACCTAATGTCGATTATTTACGAGCAGTTTCTATCTGCAAAAAAAGGTCGATGCAAATTGCTGCCATGCCGAATGATGACAACAGTATTGATACGTTCATTTCTACGCAATTGCTGAAAATGAATCCTCCACATCGTTATTGGGCAAGTGCACGGACAAATATGACTGTTGATTTGAAGGTACAATCGTAACTACCGTCAAGCGTAAAGTGTTTGAGATTTAAAACTTTTCTTAGAGTTTATCATGGTGGATTAGTTTTGAAGATCTGCGTTTCTATCGATGTGCTTTTGCAGAACCAGTTTTATTCTCTTTGATCAAAGATCTCATCTCCGATTATGCTGACGTTATTGCTCAATATTGACGTCTATTGATAAATGTTATGATCAGATATAACGTTTGGATCTCGCATAGGTCCTGTGCGCAGACTTAATTCGGGTTTCTAATTGCAGGAAAGCAGTGGCAACTGGCGAAGTTGTTTCACTTCAGAAAAAAAGATTCCATCGCAAATCGATATCAATCCAATGCCATGACAAACAATGGATAATTCATTTCGTTCATAACAAGAAATCTTTTTGGAATTTTGATTGGGTAACTAGGTCTCACGAAAAATGTATTGTATTGAAATTTACAGTTTATTCGCGACAATGTAAATTATTTTCATCTCGACTGTTAAGTATTTTCGCTGTTATTAATGAAGGGGGTCGACAACCTACGACCCGCGGAGTAGTATAACTGAAATACTTCGCTGAATTATAGTAACAAATCAACTGTTTTGACGATTATATTCTTTACGTAACAGAATTTATTGTGATACACGTGTAGTCTAAATTATATTATATTCTAACAAGTATAAAATTACTCGTTTAATGAGCCTATAATTAATTATAATTAAACTAATGGCAACAGAACGCAGAAAAGTTGACGCTAAGCGCAAAGGGTTCATGGCGCCGAAAATATTCAAACGGGATTTTTTGAGATGCAATGCAACGCGAAAATAAATCTATATTTTATTCGAGAGATGTATCCCTGCTTGATTTTTATTATAAAAAGTATCATCTGTTAGGTCTTCATGCCGCCGCAAAACGAAAACCGTGATGAGCTAGCCTAGGAAATGACCGACAATTGGCCGTTCCAGGAGAGGTCAGAGGCAAATCACCTTCAACTTTCTACAGGGGTGATGTCTTACATATTTAACGGAGAAAGTACGTTACTGCTCGTAGGATTAGCTTTTGGTAAAATTCAAGCAGAGATAATGAAGATGGCTGGTGGTTCGAGAAGACTAACCGAATGAAGGTCGTAGATATTGGATCACACCAACATGCATTTCCAACCAAGCGCCATCGGGAGATGGTGATTGACGCAAAATTCTAAACATGGTATTTAGCAAAACAGCATTAATTATAAATAATCATGTTTCCAACTTGTTAATTATTATTATTTGCAGATGTTGAATGTCGACCTATCGACTTAAGATTAAAACGGACATATGAGATGTAGTCTACTGATGGCTTCAATTACGGAAGTACTTGCCCGTGAGTTTTTATATAAATATATATATACTGTTAAATATTGATTCAACAATTTGTATTTTTCCCGAAAGGGAGGAGAATAATAAGATGGCCTATTAGTGTGGCGTTCCCAACATTGCGTTTTGATGCGTTCTCTTCAACAACATAATTGTATGTCAATGCACTTTTTCATTATGATTCAGGTTTGTTGGTTAAATTCTGAAGAAACAGTAATTAGAGACACAATTATAATGTTGGTAACTGTACTTACAGTTCATTAGGGGAAGGTTTATTTGTTTTCTAGGTTTGAATGTGACTTGGAACTCAGATTATGCGGTGCAAAAGTAGAGGCGTATTTGTGGAATGGAAAAGGAACAGATTTCGAAGAAAATATTGTTTGTAATTTTTTTCTCAATTAATCAGAAACCGTCCATTCCATAAAAGGTTTAAACATACAGAATTAAGCTTTAAAGTCATGGCCATATAAAACAACAAATAAGAATGAAAATGTACAAACATCAAAGAAAGTTAGATAAAACCCCATGAGGCAACTAAACAAAGATTCAAATTTTTTCTATCAAACCAATGCAAATTTGTTTCAAATTTCAAAATTGGGCTCTCAAAATTTCACACACATTCAAACATGAAGAATACTATTTTTAATAAAACCTAATACACAAAATGATCGAAACAAGGTGGGATGCATATCCATTTGAATTCTAATTTACGCCAAGCATGATGAACCAACTTAAACAAAAGGGGAGAAAATGCAAAGAGAAATTTGACTAAAAAGCATAATATAAAAATTACTTAAAAGGAGTAAGTTTTTTTTAACCTTATTTGCGGTAAATATTAGTTTGAATGCAAACAAAACTTATAGAAATTGAACTGATAAACTTACAATAAACAGAGTTAGAAATTTTATGAATATTCCAATATTTTCGTTATCAAAACTTAACACAAGCTGAAATTATGAAATGATGGCATTTTGTCAATTTAAATGTAAATAAAAAAAACAATGTGCTCAAAAATTTGTATTTTCTGACATTACATTACTATAGGTAATGAATGAAGCTCCGATTTATCATGTCGCAATAATTTTTATTAATTATACAAAATAGATGGATTCACATAATAATATAATCCCAATGATTTTAATTGCAATTTGTGATAGGCATATTCGTTCTTTGATCGAAGAATTCAGCAGGGCATCCATTGCATCGTACTCGACAATGAGCTGCTGGATATTTTGGACAAGACGCACTGAGGCATGCTCTGGCACAAAGACCAACTGAGTTTATTCCAGGCTGGCAAGTTGCTAGAACAAATAAAAATGAGTAATAAAATTACCCTGGGTGTAGATTGTGGTTCAACCTGGGATATTCAATCTAGGATGCTCTAAGTCTAAGCACTAACGAGGAAGTGAATCAGTATAATACAGTGATCGTCAACCTTTTTTGTAATGGTACACCCTTTCAACCAATTCTTAAAATCTGGTAATACGTAAAAAACTCAATATTCAGAAGTTATATATATATGTTTATGTTGGCGCAATAGTTCATTATTTAGTTAATGTGACCGTTGCTCCTGGATTTCATCGGCCAATGGTTATTTTTTGGATTTAATTCCAATGAGTGCAAACAGCGCTTGTTCCGAAAGGTATGTCGTAGGGCTGTAGGCATTCATACGAGAATGGTGACATCTTTCTGTGATACTCGGAAACTTCTAATAGTGCTGCCTAAAAGATGCTTATCGTGTTTCCCCAAGAATAATACAGGGCCTTATTTCAATTTACTCTCTAAAATTATCACTAGGACTTATTTTGGGGGATGCCTTTTACTTTTATTCATCAAAAACAAAATTACCAAGTATAGAATTACGAAATTTTCAAATATACTTACTAACTTTTTATTTAAAATAACTGCTAATTATAGATTATATTCTTTTGAAACGTGTATATGTCTTGCTATCGAATAGGTCAAAAAAATAAAATAAAATTGCGCTATCGACTAGGACTAGGTTTTATTTTAAGGGGAGGGCCTATATAGAAATCATTTTAAAAATCCAGGCTAGGTCTTATTTTTGGGGAAACAGGGTATGTGCAGTTGATCTCCTCTTGGTTTTCATGTCTGCGTTTCAATTTTCCCATTATTGATTCTCAATGAAATATTCCAGACATTCAAAATCGGAATGATCACATTTTGATACATTATTGTGCCACAACTTCATTTTCATTTTAAAAGACTCAATCTTGCTACTAGCTTCAAAAATATTACATCCTTTCCCCTTGATAATTTTAACTGATTTGCGATTTTAAATATGGCTGTTAGATGAGACAATTTTGCAAGCCGAAAGATATCTTGAAAACTAGCAGCCATCGAAAGTTTTTTCCTGGGTTAGAAGCATATTATCATGTGATAATGTGTACCTCACAACATTCGGCATGGTACACCCCTGGTACACCCTATCGACGTGGTACACCCTTCAAACTTTTTGGTACACCCTGGGGTGTACTATACACCCGGTTGACGAGCACTGGTATAATACCTTGTTGTATACACGATACTATTCGTCCAAATCTATTGAAAAACTGCAAATAGCATGTTGGTCCACAACCGTACACACGACACTCAGCTTGTGGGAGGTTTGCGCATCTAACTCCGTTGCACATATATCCACCACACCTTGGGTTTGGTGGACTATTTCGTGGACATAGACCTGAGTAAATGAAAGTTTGTTAAAATTATTTTTCGCTTTCATATCTGCGATTTAGAACATTTTTTTTCATTTAGGCTGGTTGAAACAGCAACTAAAAAGTATAATACCGTACAGTATGTCACTTACATCGGTTTCCTACTTCCACTCTAGGATTATTACGATAAAGGAAATGGGCTCTACATCCATTACAAGTCGTTCCACATAGAGCATTGAGATACGTTGGACAACTGTACAAGCCTGTTGTACATGCATTGCGGTTGCATCTCGGACACTGAGGTGGGCGTCGCACTGGTGGACGTGACACTGGCTTACGTTGACTCGAAGCGGCCAGTAGTAAAAGCAATGTTTGTTTGTTTACATCTGAAATTTTAAAAAATTTGCCATATTCGATAGATGAAACTTTAAACTGAAAAGCACTAGTTTAAATTGTGCATAAAATGGTAATATTAAAAAATTCAAAACAAAAATGATTCAACTCACTTAGGAAGGGATTCTTGGGTTTTGGTTCATTCTTAACTTTTTTGCATGTTAGCCCACATGAAGATGGACAACAAACCTCATCAACTTCACAGTCAGAACTGTCATCACAATCATCTTCACAACTTAGCGGCTCAATTGCATCATCACATTTTGGAGAAAATTCTGAAAAAAAAAATGTAATAATCCTGAATGGGGTCAAAACAGACAATGAAAATGAGACCATAATGGTAAAAAAACATATTTTCATGAAAAATACCAAAACTTGAAACACCTACCTCTGCATTCTGGTACACCATGAGACCATTCTTCACTTGACAAGCATGTTGTCTCATCCGAACCATAAAGTTTCAGAGGAAAACTGCACTCGAACCTTTCAAAATGATATATATAAATGATTTAAATGTGTATGTGCATTTGTATTACCGACAAATAAACCATGCATTTATTTTAACCTTATTGTTTTATATTTCAAAATGCACATATGTAACAGAAAGCTAAGTATTTTACTTTATAAACTCTCAGTCACTATGTATATGCGCACGGTTAAAATCCCATTTCCTCAACCTCAGTCCGCACCTCTAGTGTAATAAATTATGTAGACAATGCCGAACCAACAAGATTCTGGCCATAATAAACTACACTTAGCAGTGGCTACTTAGCGTAAAATTATGTCGTATAAAAAACAGCTTCCGTGCGAATCATTTTTAACTCCTATTTTTTCGCTTGACAACAAACGCAGTTTGTTGTGAAATGTCACCTCAGATTAAGATCAGTTACTTACAACTATTTAAAAACTGAGTTAACACACCATGTATCTTCTCAAAATCATTTTAAAATTTTTCCTGTTTTATATTTACATAGTTACAAACATGAACAATTAGACCCAGGATTGAAGTTTTCAGATTTATGTATAACAGCATTGTTTAAGTGTTGCTTAACTCATATAAAGTATAGGTAAACATATATATGCTTACTTGCATACTGCGGCGTAGCCAGTCCCGTCTGGACAAGAAACTGTTCCATCTTCGAAAGATAATTTGTCGCATATAACATCTTGGAAAATATAGTAATGAAATAATAAATTATTTCAATTGTTTTATAGTTTTACGAAATAACTACAATTGAACAGTAACTGATTTGATTTAATGGGAGAATTACAATTTATTAACAGAAATTAGCAGTTTATTTTTAGCTTATTAAAAACACACATTATACATACAGAACGAAGTAAAAACAGCATTTCATGGGTGAAAAGAAGATTGATAAACCAGTTTTAGTTTTCAAGCAACGACTTCCCTGCAGTAATCTGATATTAAACTACACGAGATTAAAAACTCAGAATATTGCATACTGAAATATTTGGCGCATGAATGCCCGTTTCACGAAAAACAAGCGTTGACAGGCGAGTTGCTAACCATGGCATCAGCACCGCGAATAATACGATATAAGTCTAGGGCACAATTGTCTGGATGTTTTATCAACATATCGTGTTCCAGTATACAACATTACTGAGTGTATTTACTGACGATATGAAAGGTGTTTAATATAGTAATTGTCTATTTAAATGATATTAACTTACCCTTGCATGTTGGTTCAATGCCATCCCACTCTCCATCACTCTCGCATGTAAGTTCTGATTCGTCTCCTTTTAATGTGTATCCGGCATCACAGACGAAACTAAAAGTATTGAACAATGATCATACTGTAATTAAAAAATACCTAACATAATCTAGAACTGAACTCAATCAAGACTTCAAAATTTTTCAGATTGCTTGATCCTAAAAATTTAAACTGCATATCTCGACACACTCATCACCACAAGACAAGGTTTAAATATGATGAGTGCTCGTCATTTGAAACAATTCTTCCTCATTTGTTTTGCTTTCAATTTCTATAAGAAAAGTTTATCCATATTTGCACGAGCCATGAAGATGCAAATATCAGTTTGAACAACACTGGCCTATGCCAAGGCATATTATCCAAATGACATGCCATTGGGTAAAATATAAATCTTATCGTACAGATATAATAAGGAAATAGATATTAGACATGTATCACACACAATATATTGTTATTGAAGATGAATATTTATAGCTGTGTATAACAACTTACCTACAAATGCTTGGATGTCCAAAACCAGGTGGATCGCACATCATTTTACCAGGTTGATTACTGAATTCGAGAGACCGGCATAAGATTCCTGATGAAAAAATATTAAAAATGATAAATTAATTGTAGAGTAGAAATTAACATAAAAATAACATTCGAGAGAGACAACAAACACCAAAAGCGTAAAATGTGAAACATTGAATATTTTGTTCCATTAACAAGAATAAACTCACTTGAACACTCGAGACGTGGTTGACTCCATTGTGCATCAGCTTGACAGTGTGAGGTTCCTTGCACTAGTTCGTAACCGTTCCTACACGTGACACTAAAATATTATATAAAATTTTCAGCCTAATATCTAAATAAATATCTTTTTTAGATTGTTTCATTCATTAGCACAAAAGCATAATGTAAAGATTAAATAATTATTTCAACAGCAACTAAGCCGATACCATGAAATTGAAAATACTCTATTATATAAACGAAGCAACAAAATAATAATAATCAGTAGCATTTTCAAAAAATTAAAATTTTTGTTGCCACAGGTACGTAAATGAATACCGTATCGACCTGATAATTCGGCTCAAATTGTTTGGACACTATCTAGCTGCGAGAATGATTTTGGGGAAGATATTTAATAAGATAAACTAATTTAACAACCATCGATGCATTGAACTGTTGCACGAATCATGTAAATCGAATTCATCTACTGATTGATATCTTTGTTGAATAAACAAACTTATGTATAGCTCTTAAGACAACATTCATCATTTGTTAGTGGTTAGTTAGATAGTATTCAGTTAATTAAGGCACACAACATTTCTTCAAACAAAATTATTATGAAGAATATCCAAAATATGGGCTACTTGTTTCATCTGAAGAAAATACTATTTGCAATTTGAATTACTCAAAATAATTTTCTTCTTTCAACGAAGTAAAATTGCCATTTTTTTTAAAAGCATAAAAATAAACATAGTGCATATTAAATTAATTAACCTGCATGTTTGTGAGTATGTTGTACCACCATCACATTGTACTGACCCGCCTTCAACGTATCCGTACGAGCCACAGTCGACAGCTGGAACAATTAAAGCTTATTTGTGTCGATAAAATTATGATCATTTTCGAAGCATTCATTTAATATTCAAATCCATAGTATTGTGTGCGGTGATATGGAATTAGTCTTTAACTTTAATGGCACACGATTAAAATCTTGGGTTCAAATCCCCTGCCCACCACCTCGTCCAAGGTGTAACAAAATTATGTATGCAATGCCAAATCGGAAAAAAAGTCCTTCTGATTTATAGTATCTTTTTACATAAAAGTGGATTTTTGTACAGAACCCTGTTTAGAGCAAAATACGAATAAACAGGCGTGTAATCGAGTTTTGAATGTTGGTTAGGATATTAACGGGATCTAGTAGTCCGGCAGAATCGGGCCTCAACATTGTTTTGGGACATAAAGTTTTTTTTATTGTTTAGATATAATGTATATGGCATATATAATGATACCCAGGTGAGTGTGGAGTATATAATGTTGAGCAAATTTTTTTTAAGTGGATTTGAAGAATTTGGTCCAAGATGACGCACATCCTGAACCTCAACCTGGTAAACATACAATGTTAAGGTTGTGCGCCATCTTGGTACGAATACTTCAGGAGCGCCTTTTTGTTAAAAACAATTATTTCATAACTACATGGTTTAGTTTTGCATACATAGTAACATTGAATCTCCTTACAATGTCAGAAATTTAATTTTAGTAGAATAAATGGTAATTTATTTCACTAATACAAGCCAAGATCCATCGACAGCATCTAGCCACTTTCTATTGCGCTCTTCAAACTACATTTGCGTTGCCGCGCGCATTTCGTTTTCCTAGTTTAATTAAGCTTAGGGACTTGGGGAATATTTTATTAGTTGAATTGGATTGGAATATTTGACCTCGTCTTTCACTCCTAACAAGGCCATGTAAAACCATCCACTGGTATCTAAAGATGTGCAACGTGTTTTCTTTTGGAAGAACCGCAACCTTCCAGTGCTGCATTGACTTTGGCAAAATTAATATATTCTTGTGAAGATAGAAGGTATGCGTATGCCAAACCGAGATGTGCACTTGTTATGCCAACATAGTTGAGTCAAACGTTTTGAATACTACTAGTACATCACACACATTTTCTCGCGTGCTTCGGTTGTACGTAGTAACGGCACATTTTTGCGCACATGCATCAAATTCCACTTGATTATTGAGCTATAGGTTTTTGACGAGCTTTTGTGTATGATTTCATTCCATAGAATTTGTATGCTGTTCTAAAGAATACTAGTTTCAGCTTTTTCATTCTTTCAAACCGCGTGTTGAAAGTAAGTTTTGTAATATTGCGTGTTGGTTTCCAACATCCTTAAATCGGTGATGCCAGTAAATCTTTAATACAAAAAGATCAGTAACATCTGCAATAAAAACAGCAGTACCCACTCAAATGACAGCTGGGGGATGGATACTCTTAGTATCTGCTCCATTGCGTGCCTCTTACAGTCTTACCAGTTTACATGAAGCATCAACAGATGCATATCACCAAGTAGATATTGCTGAATTAATCTTTATTTTACCATTTTTCATGTAATTCTTTTTTGTAAACCTGTTATCTATCGTAAATACAGCACATTTGACAATGTTGTAGTGTGACTTTTTTGGCCTCACATTTTTGATATTTGTAGTTAGAGCTCTTGGGGCTCTGTCAAACAAAGTTACATACAAGATATTGGTTGTAAATTGCAAAACATGATAATGTTGTTGGAATATCTTGGCATTTCACCTCCCGTATATCATTCATTGTTGAGAATATTAATAAAATCATAAAATTTAAAAATCCGTTTTCGTGAAATTTTTGTTGTAGCTGAATTCCAGGGACAGCATGACAACAGGCAAGAGAAGCACGGTCGCCTCTTTTAGTTTATGACAGGGTTTCTTAAAAGGGGACCCCGTCCTCCTTGGAGGCCGCTGATCGGTAATCTGGGAGCACGAACAAACAGATGGAAATGCGAATATATAATAACGATGTATTTTTATAGAAGAGAAGAAGCAAAAGTGTTGAGAGTCTTTGGTAGTTTGAAAAGCATTGGCATGGAACATAAGAATGAACCACATTCTTTCCCAGGGATATACTATAAAATGTAGCAATTTTTCTCATTTCACCCGTTTTTTCTCAGTCGTGATCACCCCGCTGCATAACAATTCTCGCTAACAAATAATTGACTGTTCTCCACCGGGTGTATATCCACTTGAACCACTGGCGACTGCATTAGCATGCTTGTATTGTTAATTGCAACAAAAACGGGTATTTTGAAATAGTACTCTTTAGTTTACGCTTATGTTTCGACAGTATTTCCAAATACTGTATATGGGTCGCGACCCAAAGCTGGGCTCAACAAATACCTAAGATTTATTGATTTTATTTCCTAGTAAATTTGGTGCTTTCCTAGTAAATTTGGTGCTAAATGGAGGAACAACAGGTATCCGCAACACATTTCGGTTGTATATGTATAGTACGACAGCAAATGGAAAATGTCAAGTGTTCGATGTACGTAATTTTATCACGCAAATTTCAATTTTGGTATGTACATGCACAATTTGATGTTGAATTCATACCAGACACTGCACAAGAAAGATAAATTAAAGTGATTATTCATAAAATTTCAAACTTACGGTTACACTCTTCTGGCATATTTTCAAGATTTGACCATGTTTTATCCAGTTCACAAGTGACTGTCTGACTAGGTATATTAGGCTCATACCCAGTATTGCATACAAAACTGAAAAATAAAACTTTTCAAAATTCGGAATTCGATTCTGTCTATATATTCAATGCAAATATTCAGAAGTGATCCACAGACAAAACTGTTCATTTTCTAGTTCTTTTGTTTTCATAGTCAATGAGACAAAAGGATAGTTTGGTTAATATAAGCTTAAAAAAGTACATGCAATTAATATTTTCAATCCGACGAGCGAGCGGATTGCTGGGTCTTCGTGGCTCACGTAACCGCGTCAGGCACGGGTCCTTCCGCAATAAGGTCCATGAATCTGGGATAATTTTTTTTTAATCGGGGTATACACATACCCGACATGGACTGGTAACCGCACGAGAAGCCTGAATCGTCATATGATCAAGCTTTCTTAAAAATATTGAAAATCCTATCCTATTTACCCTACGACTCACATTTAGCACCCAAATTTATCATTATGCTAAGGTGTATTTATCCGTTATATATTGGTATATTTAACTAGTGAACGACTTCAAATAAACGCAAATAAAATAAATCTTGAAAATTGTATCAATTATCACGTCTAGCCAAATTTTTATCCAAATTAAAAATAATCCATAAGTGTAACATAAAAATCTTGCATATTCACAAGGTTCAGGGTTACTAATATGCTGGTTGATACAACATGAAGTTTTAATTATATATTAACGTCCATACTTCTATTAAATTGAACAGATTTTTGTTTTTGTATTGACTGCAAAAATCACAGTACACTTATAGAGGAAAAGTCGATTTTCGAGATAGTGGATTTCGAAAACAATTCAGAAGAAAGTGAATTAGATATTGCAGTTGATTTAATAAGTATCATTTTTTTCGGACATTTGTTAGTGTCGTAGTCCTGTTTTTAGAAATAATATTGCCTTTGTTCAAATACATAACCACATAAACTGAAGAGTAATTGTAATATTTCTGTTCACTATGTTATGTACATATTGTAGGCCTACATTCATTTAATTTTCTTGACTTTTCCGGTAAATTTCTAAGTGAGAAATAACTGATTTATTTGTGTTTTCGTGCTCACGATGGTAATTTGTGACTTCATTGCTTAAAAATAAATACGTTTGATAGCTTCTATAAAATGGATGTAGCTTTTTATGCTGTTCTTTTTGTAAACTGCTTGTGGTTATTACATAAAATTCATTCGCTAATGTGAATCAGCGTGTTGGTGTCGCTGCTTTCGAGGTCACTCGCGACTCCTGTCACACAATTGAAGTATTTTTTTTTGTTAGTTACATGTATGCCATATTTTTCGTAATCTACCTAATAAATTCAGTATGTTCATTTTCACACAAAACTGAAGAATTTATTCAGTTACCAGATGTGCGCTACGAAACTCATTTTCTGGGCGTTTTCAAGGCTTCGTCTCACGGCCCATATCCGTGGTAAGGATCTACAAGTTTTTAACAACTTACTTATACATTTTTTAACAACGTCTTAGCATAACTTAACTAATAATAATTAAACAGGGCTATGGAAAGGCTGCCCAACTCAACGCAAGGTCGAGCAGTAATAACTAACATTCATTCGCTCACTAACACCTGATTCGATTCAATTGTTACGTCATGCAGAAGTCATTGTTCATTGCCGAAAATGTAGAGAATATAGGACAGATCGTAGCACATATTTCTTGTAGTAAAAGCGTCTTTTCCGTAAAACGTGCAACTTTTGGAAGTGGGAACAAAGCAATATTTGTTACTAAATTTTTAAGGAACATTTTAAAATCATTTTCAGGTAGTTACCTGATGTGCGCTACGCAACTCACTTTCTAGGCGTTTTTCAGGGCCTCGGCTCGCGGCCTATTCTGTATCATTTTTTGCACATTCCACGTTTCTATTTTAGGTTTTTGTCGCTTGCGAACAGTCGCTTGTTGACGGTCGGGTACCACCTGTCGCACATGGAACTCCCTACCGAGCGAGGAGTTTCCATTTGAGCTCGAAACCCATTTCACGCGGTTGTCTAACTTCATTTAGGTTTTTCGTGTCGTGATTTTCTTTGCAAAGATATACCTATAGTAGGTTGCAATTATTTTCTATAGGGGCAGTACTCGTACAGAGCGGGTTGTCCTAGCCATTGTACTAAAAAGTGACTTCACGTACCCTGATCGGGGGGATAAGTGGGTATATTTGACTTTGCCCAAGGGTCTTCCACAAGCTAGCGGAGGGAAGGAGGCGCCTTACTGCTTCTTTTGGTGGAATTATTTCACCACCGCTACCGCTCCGCATCACCGCTATCCTTATCATTAAACCTCACTTACAGGATAAAATGCAGAACCAGCTTCTTGTAAGTTGAATTTTGACAGTCTCTAAAAAAAGTAAGTACAAAATCCAAGTACATTCAAAAGCAGCAATATTTTGAATTCGTGACAATGGCAGCGGTTTTCACATAAAAGAAAAGCACATAAACTTGGCTTCTTTTTTCTTGTTTCTTTCACCCACAATGAAAACAACAAAAACTTTGACAATAGCGAGCACGACGACGGATTTGGTTCAGAAATTGAAACGAATTCAAGCTCAGAAAAAATGAGTAGCGGAAGCGTTACCTAGACAACTTTATTAACAGCGTTTAAGTGGACCATGTCCACATTTTCGTAGAGGCGCAGCGTAATAGCATAGTAAATTTACGGTTAAATATAATTTTTTCACATGAGTTTGCTGTCCTATAGTTATAATCGTGGCCCGGCATACACACGTTGACAAAGGCTGGCAGGAATTTTTTGTGAACGGTTTCAGATTTGGAATTTAGTGTATTTTCTTCAGTGGTGGATCCCTCTAGTGCTACAACTACATGTCGTGAAGAAGCCGAAATAAATAAGAAACCGCTGCATATTGAAGCGGGAACTCTTTTTGGAATAGTAAGCTTAATGGAGGAGATTTCTCTAATTGTTATATTTTTGCTGGCTACAGTCAATTACTTGAAGGATTTCTAAAGTAAGTGAGTCTTTTGTGTGTACAATTTAATTCATTTTGATTTGCTTCCAGGTAGGATTCTCATCACAGAGATTTCATTTATTAAGAGAACATAGTATGAATAAGTAGTAAAATTTAGTTATTATTTGCATTTTTTTATCAATAAGGCAAACTCAGCGCCTCTTTAACTGAGAATTTCCAATTAATTTGGCTCTGAATGTTTTCCTTAGAGCGTCAATCATTGGTCTTTCTAATCTTTGAGCATCAACTACAGATTCAGTTTTCATAAATTCACAATGAATCGGATAAATTGTTCGTCGTGTAGGAGCCAAATGAATTCGAATTTCTCTGTTAAAGGGGCGCTGAGTTTGCTTTACTGATTTATATGCTTCTTGCCTAACATCAATTTTGCACCTCAATCCTTGGTTTAATCCTCTTGCCATTCTGTAGGTTGATGAAAAATGAAAACAATAACAAAATTTTACTACTTGTTCATATTATGTTTTCTGCAGAAATGAAACTCCCATGATGAGTACCTGAATAGAAAATCAAAACTAAAAGTGTATATTTACTTTTAAGACACCCTGTATATTCATAAACGGCCATGGATGCAAGTGTCATGGGGATAATAAACATATCATTTTAAAACAAATTGCTATATTGTATTGAATGCGCTAGAGAAGGAAATAAAATATCTATTGAGCTTCAACTTTCATCTTCGGTACAAAACCACGTAACTAAACACTGACTAAGAAAACTTAGAATGCGATCATGTTTTACCAGTTGAAAACATCACATCGTATGTGCCCTATTAAAGGTCGAAAAGTTAGAAATTTCCACGCAGACTCCGAGCACTTTTGAAATAATTCTTCATCGCCAATTTCAATGCATACATATGTACAAAACTCAAACTTTACCTCTTTGATAAATTTAACACATATATATATATACACACAATGTAAACCACGTAACTAGTATTGCTCCAGAGTATATTTTCCGGCCATTTCAGTGAGTCCGTGTGGCTCTGCTGTGATAAAATTCTCATAAAACGATGATTACTACTTCATTATATTTTTACATTAAATTTGCTAGTTTTAAATTTGCGCAATCACACCCATGTGGCTCGAGTTGTGTGGTTTTATTAATTATATAAACCAGGATAGTCGAAGGTTGCGAGGTTAAAGGGCTGGAAGCAGTTTTGAGGATGTCTCGCGGGCCGCAGTCGGAGAAAACCCAAAAGTAATCAAAACATCGCGAGTTTACTCACTTCAAATATAATCTAGAATGAGAGTTTATCGTTTTAATCAGTTTTTCAATGAAACCATACAAAGCCTTTAGTTATTTTAAAGAAGAAATTTTTGCAAACAGTTGGAAAAATCGCTGATTTTGATCTAGCAGCGTCGAATTAGGTACACGTTCGATAGACTTGGGTATAAATTTAGGCATTTTACAAAAGAAATGAATTATAGTTTATAATTTACTCTCATAGTCTGCTCTAAAGGCCTGCTACAGGAAAAAAACAAAAATTGAAGAACTCACTATACTGACAAACGGATTGCAACGGTAAAAGACAAACATGCTAGCAAGAAAAAAAATACACAAACAGTTTGGTAATCATCAGCTACGCGGCAGTGTATCGAATGAAAGAACTAAGGGTACGTTTATTCACAAATATTATCGAATAAGGCCAGTCGTTCATCATGTCATCGTATTCAAATACTTTATTTTTATTATTATACTTTATTTACTTTATTATTATTACTTAATACAAATACTTTGATATTTTTATTTTCAATATTTGATCAATATTTTTATTTCGTTAGCTTTTAATCAGTTAATTGTAAATTTTACAATGACGGTCAATTTCATGTCAATAATTGTCTAAAACAGGGTTCTCAAACTGGGGTTCACGAGAAGATTTCCCGGGGTACTTGGATGACAGTCGAGTCTTTGTATGTTGCTGTTTTTTAATATTCTTTATTACTACCATGGGAAAATGCGTGCCCATTGAAACTAGACACCAATTGAAACGTAGATTTTCCCTGATTTTGCGTTGTTGTGATTGTGACACAACAATGTAAAAT